GTGGTTCGCGCCTGGGTGAGCGAAGGCGGGAGGTGCGTTCTGGGAAAATACCTACTGTGAACCGGGAGACCGATTTGTATCATACCCAACAACTTGATCAACTAGGGACTGGAACCACTCATACTGCGCGGACTCTGCGACAACTGAAAGCAACTCGACGGCGTGATCTGCTCCCTCCCGATCTCCTCATTTCCACCTTTCTTTACAACTAACGAAACTTTTAACCGTTTGCCGATCGAGGGCACCGGGTATATGCCCTTCGCACCATTTAAAGACAAAGTGCTCGTAGAAGACTGGTAGGATGACACGATGATCATCTAGAAATAATCGCAGGCTTTAGGTAACTCNGGGGGCTTGATCGCAGCTGGAGTTGGGGAGGAGACAACCTCACAAACTGCGAGAACTAGATTAAATTTGTTCAATCTGCGATATCAGTGGCACCGCCGTAACATTTGGTTGGTACGGGAAAGATGTATACGACTGTAGTTTATGGTGTTTTGCTTTACGGTTGCGAAATTTAGTTTCTCCGCGCTGAAGATGCTAATGGACTTTCTGTATTAGAAACACCGCTCACGTCTGGTGGAAACATGGGGTAAGCAATGACGAGGTTCTCCGTAGTGCACTGCAGGCTGGCCGCTTAAAGAAATCAATTTACATCGCCTGCAATGTTTCGGTCACATTTTACATGCCTTCCTATCGTCTGCCCCTTTGCAAGTTCCCAGCAACACTTGAAAGAGCGGTGGGGCTGCCAGATTGTGTTGGTGTCTGCAGAACCTAGCTTCAGCACTGCCTTCGGTGGAAGGCCCAAATGATGAGGATTCTTTTCTGCTACAGAGGCTGAGATATGGCTCAGAATACAAATCTGGAGCTTAAATGCTGTACGTTCTGCCTGTTGAACTCCTATGTCCCGTAGAAAAAATATTTTAAAAGCATACGGCGAGCCTAACAAAAATCTGCACCCTACCAACTCTTTCTCTTCACTTTCATTTTCCTCACCTACACCCAAATCCTCCGTTGCCATTTTCACTGTTAATTAGTTTGTACCACCACTAACTATACAGTTTCGTACGGCGGTTTTGGTCGCAGTCCCATGACTGTCCATTCTGATGAAGCAGTAAAGAGAAGGTTGCAATATTCAAATCCATATCACATTGAAAATAGAGAATCAGAGAATTCATGATGACACTCAGCCACATCACTCAGTGCCTCCAACTATTGACCACTCTGATCCCGATGTCCCTATCAAGGAAGCCTTATGTAACCTATATGAGCAAGTCTCCAGGGCAGAGTCTTCATACCCTCATGCCAGGTCCAATTTTGATCAGCCGTTACTAACTTCAGCCAAACAAGCGTCTACCGTCACAATCTATTTGGTGACATACGCAACACAACCCCAACAAACGTTGTCTACGGAAGCCGACCATTTGCTCCAATGTGCAACCGCGGTCACCTAAAACTGACTCTAACCTCAGCACTGCTTTTCCGATTTCCATGCCACATTCGTGCAGTGTTGAGGG